TATCATCAAAACCATCATTTTCATTTTAAAATCATTATCATCAGAATCAGTGTCACGTCATTATCATTATCATCCTTATTAATATCATTATCTTATAATTCTCTTCTCTATCATCATCAACTTCATCCACATGGTCATATCATCAGAATTATCAGCATCATCATCCTCATCGTCATATCTTCCATATCATCATCACATCATCTTCCTTATTATCGTCATCTTCGTTATCATCGTCATCATCATCAACGTCACATTTTGAAGCATCGCCGATACTTCATATTCTTTGCCCATAGCTTATCTTCTTTGCGATTTTGTTTTGCTCGTATTTTTCGTTGATTTATACTTCAATTAACTGCCTCCCCTATGTCTTCCTTCCTCCATTCTTCCTCCCTTCCTGCCTTTCTCTCTCCCTTTCCCCTGCCCTCTATCCCCTTCCTTCCTCTGTCCCCCTCTCCTTTCCCCCTTCCATCTCCCTTGTCTGTTGCATTAACTTAATCATCTCATGATCTTAAACCTTCTCTTTATTTTTAATTTTATTCTACCCTTCCCCCCACCCCCCTTCTCTCTCTCTCTCTCTCTCTCTCTCTCTCTCTCTCCTCTCTCTCTCTCTCTCTCTCTCTCTCTCTCTCTCTTTCCTTCTATTTCCCTCTCTGTCTATCTGCCTGCCTCTGTCTGTCATTTCTTTCTGTCTTTCTCCCTCCCCCCCACACTCTCTCACTATCTTTCTCTCTCCCACTCCTTCCCCTCCACACTCTCTCCCTATATATGTATGTGTATGAATACCATTAACATGAATATAAATAAACAATATCTACAGTTCAGTAGTTCTTAAACAGCGAGCAATACAAGGACTATGGTATGTTAATCATATCAGTGATAAAATCGAAAAAATAGAGAAGCAGCGATAAATCTCACTTGCAAATAAATTTTCCTCTCTTTTCTCTGTCACTCTTCCAAATTTCTCAGTAATTTTTCCATCTTCTTTTACTGTTCTTCCTTTCGTCAGTTCTTTTCTTCCCCTTTTCCTCTGGTACTCTTGCTGCCTCTTTCTCTCTGCTACTCTCGTTCCTCTTTTTCTCTGTTACTCTTGTTCCTCATTTTCTCTGTTCCTCTTTTTCCTCTTTTTCTCTATTACTCGTGTTCCTCTCTTTCTCTGTTACTCTTGTTCCTCTTTTTCTCTGTTATTCTTGTTCCTCTTTTTCACAGTTTCTCTTGTTCCTCTTTTCTAATAAGATTCCTACGGGTCACTCACTTTAACTTCCCTTCGATTATTCTCAGACTGAGCGGCCATCATAAGCTTTTCTCGTGTAAGTCCAATGTCCTCACTTATCGAACTTCGGAACTTGGAAATGATTCGCCAATTTAATAAACCTCGAAGAAGTTCATCCAAAGCCAGTGGGTAGGCGGTGGCAGTCTGTCTGTTTGGCGAACTGTCAATTTTGGTTGACGTCTGTACAGGCTCGTGTCTATCTATCTATCTGTCTTCCGTGTTAGTCTATTGCTTTCTTTATTTTTTGTGTGTATTTTTTTCTGTCTCTTTCTCTTCTCTCCTCTTTGTTTCTCACTTACTCTCTCTCTCTCTCTCTCTCTCTCTCTCTCTCTCTCTCTCTCTCTCTCTCTCTCTCTCTCTCTCTCTCTCTCTCTCTCTCTCTCTCTCTCCACACACACACACACACACACACACACACACACACACACACACACACACACACAACACACACACACACACACACACACACACACACACACACACACACACACACACACACACACACACACACACACACACACACACACACATATACATATATATCTTGATGTGAAAGGTTAGTTACGCCTGAAATTAAATGAACATCTCCGTTTTCTTTGGGTAGTACTAGCTCGAGAAACCGTTCTCTGTAAATTTGTGAGGGGGAACTGTTATCATTAAGAAAAGCACCTACTTGTAAATTTAAGAAATACGGAATATACTTAGGCGGCGGAAGCGAGGGGGCAGAGGGGCGAGCACCCCCCCCCCCCAGAATGAAAACTGCAGGGGCGAGAGTATACCTCCGCCCCCCACCCCACCCCGAAATTGCTGAACAATTGTGCTTTACATTTGGTTTTACACGTTCATACAGACTAATAAAATATACTATAATTATACTATATCTCATTTTACCAGAATGGGTATCACTCTTACAGTAAACATGTTGGTTTCCATGAACTTGATTTATCAAAAATATTTTATAAGTATAGTGGAGACTAGTTTAGTAAAGGACAGATTTTCCTGGGCTCATGAACACCTAACTAGCGGAGTTCGAGTGGACACTACTACAACAAAACACAGTTAACACACATAAATTGTGGAAGCCATATGGATATATTACTTCTGGGTGTTATTCATTTAACGCAGAACTGGATACAATGATGTGCTAAGTATATAATTATGTGAGAACTGTGTCATGCGCATGTTGTTGTGTGAATGGCGCTTTTTGTCGAAAAGATCATCAAACTATGCATTTTCTCATTCGCCCCCCCCCCCCCCAGTCATAGACTCGCTCCGCCGCCTATGGGTATATATGTGTGTGTGTGTGTGTGTGTGTGTGTGTGTGTGTGTGTGTGTGTGTGTGTGTGTGTGTGTGTGTGTGTGTGTGTGTGTGCTATAAATGTCTATGTGTATGTATATACACATATACAGAGACGAAATCGCAAGTTTATGCAAAATCTTACTTTCTTCACCAAACTTACCTTCAGCTAGTTTCTTAATTCAAACGGAACTCTTTCTGTTTATGTTCGCGCAAAGTAAACATTCACTTTACAACGCGTACCTAAATAAAGTTCCCACCCCACGACAGAATAAGAAAATCCAAATTGAGAACCGCAATGTAGAAAAAAAAGAAAAAAAAGAAAAAGAAAAAAAAAGGAACCAATCCAACGTCAAACTTACCTTCATGTGGAACATCATGAGCTCATTGGAGAGCTTCGAGCGGACCTGAGTGTCGAAGACCTTCTTGTACAGCAGGGAGTTGCTGATGGAGATGCCGCAGTAGATGCTGAAGGCGGTGGCCAGCTCCTCGTCGAAGCGGGTGAAGTGGAGGCCCGACGTCTTGTTGCACAGTTCAGCCACGCCCAGGACCTCGCCATCCTCCTTGATCGGGAAGCAGAGGATATTCCTGCGGGAGGGAGGGAGGGGAGAATGGGTTAAGTGGCAGGGAGAGAATGGAGGGTGTAAAGGGAGGGAGGGAGGGAAGCAGGAAGGGAGGGAGGGAGAGAGAGAGAGAGAGAGAGAGAGAGAGAGAGAGAGAGAGAGAGAGAGAGAGAGAGAGAGAGAGAGAGAGAGAGAGAGAGAGAGAGAGAGAGAGAGAAAGAGGAGGGGGGAATTGATGGAATGGAAAGTTTCAAGTCGAAAGTACTTTGCAACAAAGACGAAGAAACAAATAAAAAATCGTTTTTCACGGACTGAAAAACAAGCGGCTTTGAGCTCACAATAAAGGAAATGAACCATAAAACAGAACATCACGTTTACTCGATGAATTATAAGCCGAAAATAAACTTCAGTTAGATTTACTTAATGTACCCAACGGTTTTACGCTTCGTAATCTGCGTCACACGCGCGGGAAAGCTACTTATATCTTCATGGAAAATGGACGACACTCCTTTACAAACACACACACACACACACACACACACACACACACACACACACACACACACACACATACACACACACTGTCCGTTTCCCTTTATTTAAGAGAGAGAGAGAGAGAGAGAGAGAGAGAGAGAGAGAGAGAGAGAGAGAGAGAGAGAGAGAGAGAGAGAGAGAGAGAGAGAGAGAGAGAGAGAGAGAGAGAGAGAGAGAGAGAGAGAGAGAGAGAGAGAGAAAGAGAGACGGAAAGACAGCCAAATAGTCTGAGAGTAGAGAACACACTAAATAAATACAAAATTTATCTCTTCCCGCGTTCGTTTTCTTATCCCCAGACTTTATTTTGCCAGGAGACTGTATCTGATGAGCGTTGATGACCGGACCGACTTCGCCTGTTGACACTGGCCTGGGGTACCCGGAGGCAAATACTGACACAATTTGACGTTCGCATTGGAGACGCTACAGCTTCGAATTACAACTTTGTTATGGATGACGTTGGGGATAGAAGAATGAGAAACGCGTGTTTGGCTTGTAATTATGTTTTCTCGTGTAGGTTAATTGCAGACAAGAAGAGTACACATACGCGTGGGCGGGGGAGAAGACGAGTAAGGAACATGGTGAAAAGAAGAGATAGATAGAGATTGATAGATAGGCAGACAGGTGGATCGATAGATAGAGATTGGTAGATAGGCAGACAGGTTGATCGATAGATAGATAGAGAAAGATGGATAGCAAGTATGATAGATGGATAGAAAGAATGATAGATGGACTGATAGATAGACGGATAGACAGATAGGTAGAATTAGAAAGGCAGATTGGTAGGTAGGTAGGCAAGTAGGAAGATAGATAAATAGATAGATAGATAGATAGACAGGTAAGTAGGTAGGTAAGTAGCTAAATAGGTAGTCGACAGATAGGCAGATAAACACACAGATAGACAGATGGATAGATAAAGAGACAGATAGACAGAGATAGAGAGATGGGTAGGTAGGTAAATAGGTGGTCGATAGACAGATAGATAAATAGATATATAGATATATAAACAAACAGACAGACAGATATATAGGTAGACAGACTGTTAGATATTTAGATAGACTGGCACACACACACACACACACACACACACACACACACACACACACACACACACACACACACACACACACACACACACACATATATATATAATATATATATATATATACATATATATATATATATATATATATATATATATATATATATATATATATATATATATATATATATATATATAAAGAGAGAGAGAGAGAGAGAGAGAGAGAGAGAGAGAGAGAGAGAGAGAGAGAGAGAGAGAGAGAGAGAGAGAGAGAGAGAGAGAGAGATCCACAGTAAGCTCAGTAAATCCATCCGCTTCATTAATAGCCTTACTTTCTATGACGTCATAAAGATATCATACAACGTATCGAAACATAAGGAAAACCGGAATTTCTTTTCTATTCCTGCGATATCGCTACTCACGAAGCGCTATAATCCTACATTGCCCTTAGTCTATAATAAATATAATGGATTATTGTGAGGATCTGATAATTCAAAGAAATTAAGCTTGAAAAAGTATACATGTGATTGTAAACGTATCCTGGCTACGGAACGAAAGACGCGGGGAATTCAATCTCAAAAGTTCCCGGAAATGGCGCAGGAAACTTGGGGTCTGGGATGTCTTCTCGAGGTTCCGTCGTATCAGTTACTTGGGGGGAAATGTGCAGCCAGGACATACAGCGTGGATATGGGAATGTCGGACAACTATTATCGGGGAATTTGAAACTGGGAAATGTAATTATTTCATAATTCACTATGACGGAGGTGGGGCAATTTCTAAAAAAAAAAAATGTGTAAGAAAAAAGTATCATAGGTATATCACTCATAAGTTGTTGATGTCTTTACAGGTCTACTAAGTTTCTTTATGCAAATTGAAAATCCTTATCAGACCGGTATAAAGTGCACTGCTATTGCAATGAAAATCTACGCGCAAGGAGACCTCATTGGAGACTGACCTTTGCGAGAATTAAAGCCAACTTTACAGTGACATTCGTGAGGAAATGCAAGTGACGTCTAAACCATCATACTTATATATATCTGATGTTACCCGGTACTGATTCAACAATCTATACTCTATCCTTTGAGAAAGAAGTACTCGATTAAAGTAGTATAATTTTTAATACTTAATATAAAGTACAATGAAAGGCCGCAGAGCGTTTTTATCATTACACTAAAGAAACTAGTACCCCAGTCTGTAACAACATTACTAATCCCTAATATAATTCATACTTTTCGTTCACCATATAATAATTCAAAATACCTTGCCCTATGTATCTCGTAACTAACGCGCTTCAGCAAATAAGAGGCGAAGCCAAAATCAACACAAGGCAGCTCGGCGTAATAATATACGACAAAACGCCATGGAAATAAAATCTGACTGAAAACTGACGCAGATATTTCGTTTCTGTGATACTGGAGGCAACTAATTTTAGTGGAATGAGGCAAAGGGCGTGATCATCCCATGTAGGCGTTTTAATTTTTAATCTGAGAACTGCGTCATTTGCAAGATTCAAGTTATCTTGCAAAGTAAATCCTTATGATACGCAGTGTTACTAAGACTGAGTGGAACTTCAGTCAGAATTTGTAAGGCTGATATGGATATATAATCATAATATCCGTCAGAAAATAAACATAAGTTAGTTGAATTTGAGTTAGATAGATGGATAGATAGACAGATATATAGATATATAGATATATAGGATAGATAGAGGTAGGTAGAGATAGGGAGATAGATAGATAGATGGATAGAGAGATAGATAGATAGATAGATAGGGATAGAGGTAGGTAGAGATAGGGAGATAGATAGATAGATAGATAGATAGATAGATAGATAGATAGATAGATAGATAGATAGATAGATAGATAGATAGATAGATAGATAGATAGATAGATAGATAGATAGATAGATAGATAGATAGATAGATAGATAGATAGATAGATAGATAGATAGATAGATAGATAGATAGATAGATAGATAGATAGATAGATAGATAGATAGATAGATAGATAGATAGATAGATAGATAGATAGATAGATAGATAGATAGATAGATAGATAGATAGATAGATAGATAGATAGATAGATAGATAGATAGATAGATAGATAGATAGATAGATAGATAGATAGATAGATAGATAGATAGATAGATAGATAGATAGATAGATAGATAGATAGATAGATAGATAGATAGATAGATAGATAGATAGATAGATAGATAGATAGATAGATAGATAGATAGATAGATAGATAGATAGATAGATAGATAGATAGATAGATAGATAGATAGATAGATAGATAGATAGATAGATAGAGAGAGAGAGAGAGAGAGAGGGAGAGAGAGAGAGAGAGAGAGAGAGAGAGAGAGAGAGAGAGAGAGAGAGAAGAGAGAAGGGGGAGAGGACATAAGAATCAAGAAAAGGAAAGAGAAGAAAATGAGATATGAGACGATAAAGTAAAAGTGAAGAGAGAGAGACAAAGAGAAGAAGAAGAAAAAGGAAAGGGATGCTACAGGGGCACAACCTCTCTCCAAGACACATGATAAACAGAGAGAAGCACAAAATAAACGTATACATGATGGAGGGAAGAGAAGAGGAGGAGGAGGAGGAAGAGGAGGAGGAGGAGGAGGAAGGAGGAGGAGGAGGAAGAGGAGGAGGAGGAGGAGGAGGAGGAGGAGGAGGAGGGGAGGAGGGAGAAGGAAGAGGGAGAGGAGGAGGAAAGGAGGAAGAAGGGGTAGAAGTAGAAGAGGAGGAGGAGGAGGAGGAGGAGGAGGAGGTAGAGGAGGAGGAGGAGGAGGAGGA